ATGTCAGGGCATTGTAATGAAAAGGCTACGTGTCTTAAAATCATATGGACCTGAGTTTGAATCTTGCTATATGACTTTATTCAATTTATTTAGTGTTTTAGCCTTTCTTTATGTGATATGTGTGTACATGTTTCATTTAGTATTTATTCTATAGGGTTGATAATAGGATTACATAAGATAACAAGTGTAACACTTCTGTTTTGTTCATAGAAGGTGCCCTATAAATACTAACCACTACCATTATTATTAGCCTTTTTAAATTATCCCAATTAAATTCATATATGTGAGGGGACTTGTATTTAATACAGAAAAGGCATCTGTATTGTTAGGAAATGCCTTAAGGTCACTAGATTAAACTAAGGGCTTTTTAAAGTTAATGCTTTCGGGAACTATACTGGCTTGAGAACATTGTCTTTCTGCATGTTGTTTAGATTTCAATGGCACTTTGTGGGTGGTCTGCCAGTTGTGCTTGTCTTTTTTTTTTTTTGTTAAGAAGAGTTATCTATAATTCTTGAAATGGGTATTTTGCCAATTTTCACATGCTTTGTTTTCTCTTCTCAAATCAACATGTCTCTATATTTATACAATTCAGAGTTCAAACAACATTCATTACACTGCTGTCACTGTACATAAAGACAATCAAAACTTATTATGCCCAAATCTAAAACATGATCCAGCTACGTGAACAGATGTGTTCCATGAGCAAAGCCTCACCACGTTGTTCCTATTTACAGTCTGCGTCGTTTGGATGGTGTGCCTAGTGCGTGAGGTGGTAGATGAAGGGTTTTGCCAATGGCCCTCACTCGATGAAACATTTTGTGCACGTTTTGTTCCTCTTTTCTATTGCACTGCCCTTTGGGTGACAGAATGGTTTTAAGAAGTTTGGTTAAACTTGTCAAGCTTTTGAAATGGCTTTAAAACTGTTTTATGGTTAAAAAATTAATTCTATTTATTTCAGAAAGTAAAACATGCTTTCTTGATTTTGGACCTAAGAGGATGAGCTCTCAAAATCCAGCAAAATTCCATCCAGCTTTAAAAATTTACACTGTGCTTTTCTAATTTTATCGTGATTATTTTCTGCTCCTTATTGCACCTTTTTATATAATAAAAACGAGAAAACACAAGCACTTGTCTGTAAGAAATAGATCCAGCCTCCTCTCTTAGGTGGAAGTCTCCATGAAAATGAAAATAAAAAAGTTAAATGTTCTGTTGGTAGGATTTCTGCTTAGGCCATTTCCTTTATCAGTATCACTCCTGGGGATCAGAGAAAGGGCAATCAGGCCTCTGACCAGCCAGCATTCAGCCCAAAGTATTCGGGCCCCATTTCTTAAGGGTCATTTTTACTGTATTTGCAACCCAGACAGTAGGATCTTGATGGAAAACGTCAATTTGGTCTACCTAGTTTAGGTATAGGTCTTTATCGGTACTTAATTTAAAAAACACAGATTAGCTGGAAATGATTGAAAGTTCACGAAGAAATGAAGAACAAATTCAACATCCCTCCAGCATGGTTCTTGTAGTAAAAACCAGTCCTTTCCTACTGGTTATCATCTACAATGTTAGCCAGCAATTACTGTCCTGAGTCACCCTCTTTTCTCATCTTTCTGGTTTTCCATTGGTTGTGGTATGTTTCTGTACTCATGATGGAGGACATTGTATATTAATTAATATTTGTCCATATCCAACTGGTGCTACCCTCATGACAGGGAAATGCAAAGAGCACCTATGTGGAAATAAACTGCCTGGTTCAGCTCCTGACTCTGCAACTTACACCCTGTGGTAACGTACAAGGAAGTCCAGCTTCTCCTAATTTGTGTTTCCTCACCTGTGCAAATGGGGGTACCATTTAGTGCCTTGGTCAGAGCCTGTGTTTTAGAACAGCAGCAAAATTACCAGCTGCCTCCTCTCCATGTGCTGGGTCTGGCTTAACTTATGATGCAATGAAAGTTACAGGAGTCAAGACAGACAACAGCCAAAGGGTTTTTGGTGTTTCTTTTGGGGTTCCTATGAATACAGTATTACTCACTGCCATCAGTCCTCTGCCAAAGGCGTGATTCTCTCTTTCTTGGGCAGAAAAAGACTCTTGAGCTTGCTGATCTGGTGGTGATGGTAGCCGTTGGGTGTTTGTCCACAGCCCACATGTAGCTTGATGGAGTGCTGTCCTGGATTTAGAAGTTTTAGACTTACTGCAAACGAAGCACAAACAGTGGCCCCTTGGTGACATTCCTCATTTGAGGCAGGATCAGAGGTGGCATCCTATCACAACTTGTTTTCCTGATGCACAAAACCGCAGGGCAGAGTTTTATTTTCCTTTCACCTTAATTTCCTAATTGAAACATTAAAAAGCAAACGAGCATAATTTCATATTTTCTAGATGAGGAGGCTTTAAGCAAGATCTTCTGCAGTTATTGTTTTCTCCCCTCTCAGCGTGATTTATATTTTGGAAATAGGACGTGTATATCTTGAGCTTCACTTACTTAGTAGTTCTCATGTATTAACCCTGTGTGTTCTCCAAGAAAAAAAAAGTTGTGTGATGATATCAAAGAGTTTACATAAGATGTTGTATTTATTGTAAAGAAGATTAAGTAATCCCAGCATTCAGCAGGGTGCCTCGTCCCTGTTAGACTCGTAAACACAAATAACGAGCTCTACCTTGACACCCACCCACTGCATCAGAGCTGCTGATGAAATACCCACAGTAGCAGCTTCTTGAGCTTTCTGTCTGCCGTTCCTCCAAACCTTGTTTTTCAGGAATACAGATTATTCAACTATTATTATTTTAGTACTACACCAGTTCTTTTTCAATTTGCTATTTCACATATTGCTGACTATGCAGTAACTGCCAGAATGTAAATATTCTGTGCACAATACATTCTCCAAACCACCTTGTCTGGGCTGTTGTGGAGAGAAGTTTTAAAACCCTTTGGTTTTAGACAAGGAACAAAAGTCAGCATAAGAAGAGCATGTAATAGTCTCCCCTGTTTCTAAGACTCTGTCCCCCATTAAGTCCTTCCCCCCTACCCCGGCTCCACCCTGCCTGCTGCCTTGTTAAAGTCTTCCTGGCTGATCGTTTCATGTTTACTTCTGTGTGAGTTTATATTAATTATGTGGATCACTAGTCTCGGCACTATGAGGGATGAAGTGATATTGGATTTGATAAAGGATCCCCAAGACAGCCTCATTCCTGGGCCTCCTCCCACCCCCAAGCAAGTGGCAGTTTGTAATGAGACTTACTTTGGGCACCAGATTTTCCCCTTAAAGTAATTAAAGCCTGCAGCTCTTAGCTACAGAGCTGGTTGATACAATATGATTTAGCAGAGCACTTTCAGTTTGGAAAATTCAGTGCTTGAAATGAAAACACAGGATTGGCTCTTAGCTACTTATTTGGCTGTGTGTGTGTGTGTGTGTGTGTGTGTGTGTGTGTGTGTGTGGTGTGTGTGTGTGTG